GTCAGTGTCCAATAATGTTGATTCAAGTTTACAAAACTCAAATGATGCACAAGGTATGGCTTCAGCGTAGCTCTGATTGGTCAGTACGCAGCTCTCCGACATATTATCAAAGTTGCTGAATGGAGAGAACATGAGTAACTGTTTTATATTTATTATAAAGAGGGACCCTGAGGACATTATTACATCTGCTGTAGCGAAGAGGCTGAAACTCAGAGTGAAGAACATGTACGTGGTGCATGTTGCATCTGAAATAACATCTCTAAAGGGGCAGGCATTTCCTCTGAGTCATATAGCTGAACTGAACACTCAACACCGTCTGGACACAGGCTGCCTGTGTGCTTCTGGTTTCTGGTAAGAGTCCAAGCATGACTGCCCACTATATTCCTGGAGAGTGTAGGCTGTGCCAGCTACGTGGACGTCCTCAAAAACTGTTTATTTTGCCATTATATCGTGAAGTCATGCCAGTTCTTCCATTATGTTACGCTCAAAGCCATCTTACGCTGTCTGTATCAACAATGTCATCAAAGAATTGTCTTTACAGTGACCAGCGTTGCATGACGGGTTTCGCAAGCCTCTAAATATTTACAGCATTGTCATGTCATACTAAATTTTGTGTATTTGTGTACACAGTGGTGCTGTGGCTGAGCCAACAGAATTAAAATCTGAACCCTTGGTATTGCCGGTGGGCACTTTTCCTGAGGTCAATATCAAAAGTGCAGGAGGATTTTATTTCACAAAGTAATCTCTAATGTCACGGCTGTATCTGAAGCAGCTGAGGCAGTTTAGCACTCAGACTTATTCACCATGCAAACCGATCTTCCAAATCCATGTGTCTTGACCTATTGTACGTATAACAATGCATTTTCATGTCAACACACTGAATGTAGACACATTAAGAAAGGTACTTGACTGGAGATTGCTGACGGCAAACCTGGGTTTCTCATTGACATAGTGTGGTAGTTATGACTCGCTGGTGTTGTTATGGAAATGTACCATGACACTACAAACACTGGGCTAACAGGGGGCTCAGATAAACCAGTTTCTCACAAGTGAAGTAGCTTTAAGAGCCTGTGTAAAACAAAGTGATGTTGCGCAAAGGGTCTTGCCACAATTGTGCACAGCCACTCAAATCAACTGCGGCAAAACAAAAACATGGTCATCCAGACACGGAGTTGGTCGAGATGCCACATCGACAGACGCCACTGCCATTTTCCTAGCCTGCTCATTTTATAATCTGAGCCTGTCCTTAGTAGAAGATTATTATTTTCAGATAATTGTAACTGATGGGAAAATTACTACCCCAAAAGACACACTGTGGAAGCTCAATGGACAATTTTCCTTTATAGAAAAGTTAGAAGGGTGGGTGAGGGGGTGAGCGCTGCACAGTTGGAACAATGATGTCATTGGTTTCTTGAGTGCTACTGAAAGAAGGTCATAACCCTGTGACATGAGGATTGTGACACAAAAACAGCTGTTCGCTCTGACATACTCCCTTTGTCTCCCCAGTGCCGCTGCTGAAAAGACTAAGTGAGAGGCTGTCAGGCCCATGAGGTGCAGGCACAGGCCTCATCAGCGAGATACATAAGGAGCACTTTAGGATTTGCTAACAAGGAAGCCACATTGTTGCAGAGTGAGGTCAACAGGGTGTCATATTGCTCCTTCACTGAGAAACTTGAGGATTATTCTCACATTTGTCAAAGAAAATGCCAAATCCGTGCAAATCCCTGACCTGTATTCACAATAGGCTGCCGAGAGCACAGGAGGATTTGGCAATCACTCTGTATGAATTGAGTGAGGATGGAATAGAGTAGAAGGGCTCATTTGAGACATAATATATCAAGTGGAGACACTCCAGTGTTAGATAATCAAGCAATCTTACCACAATGCATGAAGGAGAACAAATGCCAATATGATTTCACTCTTATGCCAATCACACTTACGAACAGCACAATGGAAGCTTTAGAAAAAAAATAGAAAACAAGACTTTCTGTATATATTTTTTTTTTCATTCTCAGCATGAAAGCAACACATGAGCACACAGAGCTCTAATACTGCTGATAGTCCTTGGTAACTGCTGAGCTCTGTAATTTCAAGCTTTCCTATGAGTCACTGCTTTGAGCTGCCCCCTGCTGCTACACATGAACACACAAATACACACATTTATACACACACACACACACACACACACACACACACACACACCACAAAGATACAGAAAAACCTGAAATCAACTTCAGTATACAGTATACAGATCCACATCCAGGAAATATCTAGCGGTTGACAAACCAGACTAATTTAACAGCCCTGGAAAATGTATAGACAAAATCCATTTTGAAACCCATGCACTTTTGAAGCAGACCCATAATTGTTAGCTTTCCAACATAATGAATGTGCTCTCTTTTTAGAATTTGGCAGTGAGATCTGTATAAACGCACAAATCAACAACAGATCACAGGGTCATATTAAGTAATATCTGGCTGTGCAAAGGAATACGTTTTCTGCTGACTTGCACTCATAAAGAGAGTGGTTAATAAACAATAATTCATCAGGAGTTGTGTATCACCTGCAGTACGTTTGTGCAAGCTGTTGCAGGCAAAATTAGGAGATCATTAGATTGTAGGGGAAGGCAAAAAAACACAAGTGCAACAGTAAAAGGAATGCATAAAACAGTCCATATATCTGCTTTAATGCAAGCTGCAAATGTTAGCATGCATAGCTAACTAGCTTACTACAAATAATGGTACAGTCCAAAGCCAAGGGACACATCATAAACCAACCACATTAGGCTGTTTTTTAGACCAAAGGGACTTTTTCATGGCTCTGAGAACCTCCTTTTTTGTGTGCATGTCCCTTAAGAACTAGAAATGATCATAGCTCTTAAAACACTGTTTTGAGGGACTTTTTTTTAGAGTAGTTACTCCCCCACTACAAGAGGAACCCTGAGTGACATAAGCAGACACAGACATAAGTGTACGTTGACAGGTCAAACACTGGAAATGCAGCACCAGCAACCACAAATTTTAAAAATTTGGAAACAGTGTAAAAAGTAGACAATAAATCCTCTTTTTTCCTTTGCCTTCTTTTATTTACTTATCCCCCTTTTTTTCTACTTTACTTTTTTTTTTTTTTAAATAGGGAATCAGTGCCATTGTGTGTTCAACCTGTATCACCATGGACTTTCAAAGTAGGGGCGGGAGGGGATGGGTTGAGGCAGGGGGGGAAGATTAGTTGACTAATCGATGACTAATCGACTATTAAAATAATCGGTGGCTATTTTAGTAGTCGACTAATCGGTTTGAGTCATTTTTCATAGAAAAGTACTATAAAAGTACCCCAAAATACTCTTATTGCAGCTTCTTACATTCAGATATTGGCAGCTTTACACACTCTCCCATGACAGTGAACTAAAACCCTTTGGCGTGAGTACGAAACAAGACATTAGATGACATAATTTTGGGGTTTGGGAGAGACAGACAGACATTTTTCAACATTTTAACACATTTTTCAATAGATTCGTCAACTAATTGAAGAAATAATCGACAGATTAGTCGACAATGAAAATAATCGTTAGTTGCAGCCCTAGTGGGAGGTGGAGAGGGATTTTTGTTACCAAAAAAATGGAAGGAAAAGTATTGTTTTAATTGTAATTCTGTATGATTTGCAGTTATCCTTCAATAAAAAATGCCATTAACAAAAAACACCAACAACAGTTCATAATAAAATAAAATTGAAGAAAATGCAGCCAAATGGACCGACAGTGAAGTCCTGGTTTTACTGAGCATATATTCATTGGTAGAAATACAAAGTGATTTGAATCCTCAAAGCATAAGTGACGGTGCTACACAAACCCCCGGCCAGCTTACAGTCTGCCAATTCAGCATTCCTTATGGCGCTGCCAAAGTAAACAGAAAAAAAAATGCTGTGAAGGTATGTACTTCTCTGGGGAGTTCTCTGCCCCAGTGGGCACTTCCTCTTAAGGAGTCCCCTGAACTGTTTGATCCAAAAACGCCTGGTGTGTGGGGTTATGAGTTCGGTCTCCGTTCAGGACCAAGCTACTACATGAGAATTTAGGGTGACTTTCACCGGTCTGTCCTGTTGTTTATGTGTTTGTTTTGGGAAGTGTACAGACGCTTTTACTGGATTCACGTTTTCAAGTCTGCTGGCGACAAAATCAACAATCATCTTCTTGCAATGAGAAGCCATTTAACTACTTCTGTGTGAAAGCAGAGACTCACTGTTCCCAAAGTTACTATAACTCTTGAGTGGTAAATCTGTCCCACCTGTCATTATCAGCTGCATATGTGCCATACTAGAATGGAAAGCATGGGCATAGCAAAAGTAAATAAGAGGGACGGGGCATAGTGGATGGTCAGATGGTGACCAAAGTAAGAAAAAAAATCAATAAAACTGAAGATCTACTGCACTGGAGTGAAAGCAGCAGCAGGTACTTTTACACATTCGTCACATTACACACCACACACCCTGTGCTAAAACAAATGTACAAGAGTGGCTGTTGGGCACTAAGCCAGGTATTTCCTGGGTCAACAATACAGTTATAATTAAATTTCAAATGCACTAACTTCAGGTGCTATCAAATCACAGGTATTTCCCATTTTTATGTTGTTCAGTGGCACTGTATGCAGGTACAAACCCGGGCTCTCAAAAGTACTACCACTGAGCGTGTGGATTGTCGGAGTGTGTGCTGACAGCATTATTATCTACTCACTGCAACAAATTTACATACTCACACAACTGGTTCTACCGTCCATATGCCCTGAAGTGTCAGACCAATCACAAGCCAAACATGTAAGTATGCATTTATGTAAATCTAAATATGTCCTGCAGTTGTTTTTCTGGCACTTGTTACAATTAAAGTTAGCATAACTGTGTTGCCTGAGGTTACACATGATGAAGGTTACAATAGAGGCCTTTTTTTTCTTTCAAATAATATGCCTCTTTGTGTCACAGTTAGCCTCTAGTACTGTAAATGGAACACTCACCTGAGTTGCACTACTTTTGGTCCATGGCAATAAACATTCAGAGACAAGGGGGGAAAGGGTTGAGGCGATAAGCTCAGGGAAAGGGTTTGGAACAGGGGAAGAGAATGACTCCTCTCCCTCTTTATTGCTCCTGAAGGACAAAAAATACAGAGAGAGAGAGAGAGAGAGAGAGAGAGAGAGAGAGAGACGCTGCATTAAATGTGGCAAGCATTGTTCACATCTGATTTCAAATTCTGTATGAGTCTTCAAACATGTAAAAGTATGTCACACTAAACATTTGGCTAACGGAAATGGTGCACACATCTACAGTATTCTCTTTGATGTAATGGTACAGCCATAAAACATGTGTCCATAGTGTCTGAGGTTTGAATACCACTCACACAAAGGGGCAATTCACCCCAAAATCAAACACATTTTCCTCTTAGATGTAGTGCTGTTTCAGTCTACGTTGTTTTGGTGTCAGTTGTTGAGTGTTGTAGAGATGTCTGCCTTCTCTCACATATAATGGAACAAGATGGCACTCAGCTTGTGGCGCTCAAAACGCCAAATAATGCTAAATTCAATTGCAATGCCTCTTTCAGAAATCATGACCCAGCTACTCAAAATAATCCACAGAACTTGTTGTGAGCGGTTTCATGTACAAACTATTTTCTTTCTACTGAACTACACCCACCAACCGTATCACTGTGCAAGGAATCATGCGAGTACTGTGAGCTCACCTAGCACCACCAAGCTAACTAACGCTGCTGCTCAGCCACAGACAACGCTGTTAATGTTAAATCGCGTGCTGTCACAAGCACAAGCCTCTTGACCATAAGTAGTAGCACACTTCTTTCTGCACAGTTGGCGGAAATATTTCAGTAGAAAGAAAACAGTTTGTACATGAAACTACTCACAAGTTAAAATGTATTTCATTGGCGCTTTGAGCACGACAAGCCGTGTGTCATCTAGTTCCATTATATTTGAGAGAAGGCAGACATCTCTATAGCTGATATCTCCAACACTCCGCAACTCACACCAAAACAATCTAGACTGATAAACAGCACTACAGGTAAGAGGATTTTGGGTTGAAATCTCCCTTTAAAGTATCAAACTGCTTTCCAGAAGCTTTAGTGAAATGTTGGCTCAAGCAGTTGCAGAATTTACAGTTTGTGTAATATTGCATGAAACTTATGGAGAAACTGCAGTGGAAAAATCACGCTTTTAAAAGGATGAATACAAACAATAGATCACTTGTCTCCCTATTTCGCCTATCAGAGTCAGTCCAGACTGTGACATCGTAACAATGCATTAGACTTTATGCCAGACTGATTTCGCAACCTGTAGCTTAGAGAGATGTTTCAACATATTGCTGGTTCTTGTGTTGCATGTGTTACACGTGGACAAATTGGGGAGTGTAAATGAAGCAGGTGATAAACAAACTGACAGAAACATAAGGCTGCGTCTGCATGGACTCCTCCTGCTCTCAACTACCAGACGGCACACCCCACTCACCATCAGACTTCTGATAAGATTATGCACATGTGAGCTGCCCCTGATTTTACCACTATCATACAGTAGCTGACAGAAACATTAAAAGGCTTTAAGTGCTGGCTTGAGGAGAGCAATCTATATTACAATCAAAAAATAGCAGCATCAGGATTTTTTTTTTGCCATGATTACGAATATTATAATCATGTGTCACCCTAACCCCGATGTGATGCATCTTCCAATGTTAGGCAGTAAAGAGTAGCCAGTACTCCTCAAATGCATTTAACATGTCCGCACAGTGAACTAACATTTCAATCTGTCATAACCTGTGTAAACATATCATCCACAACACCACATTCAACTGTCATCATGATAAGGTAAGAGTTAGAATCAGCACACTTGCAGATGAGAGGGCCTCGGTTCCTGAACAAGGTGCCGTTCTCTGACTGACGCTTTCTTTACTGCTCTGTAAACACAGCAGTTACTGAGTTACTAATTATCTCCCACAAACTAACAGGTGCTTGATTTGATTCCAGGTCTTTAACTGCACTGTTGAAATAATGCATTACACTCCATTGACAGCTGCGTTTGGCTCGAGCCAATTGTGTTTACAGGTACAAAGTCTACGCTACACCTTTCAAATAGACCTCTGTGTCTCACTCCTGCTAATACAAAGAGTGCACTATTCTTCTGCAGGGCAGCTCACAGTGTTAAGTGTAGAGTAGAAAACACTTCTTTCAGTTTTGGTGTAACTGAATTTATTTTAATTGAACCCCATAAACAGCCTGGTGTCATTCATGGAAAGTGCATAGAAAATTGAGTCATACCTGCTCCCCTTGCAGAGCGTAGTCCTGATCTTCTGGGCATTTGGTGCTGGTAAAGGAGCTCGCAAAGGGATGAGGGCTGGGCTGGGAAAGCCACTCACATTACCCTTGCCACTCTGAAAAATCTCTGCTTTCTCTCCGAGGCTTCCAGAAGTGTGTATTCCGTCCAGTGTGTTATTCATATCACTCATGTGGGCCGGCTAGATCCAAGGCATCATCTGAAGCAGAGAGAAGAGACGAGCTGTTGGACTGGAGTGTGTGCAGAGCACAGTTAGAGCAAGCTGGCTGGCGGGGCTCCTCTGCTCACAGCTCAGCAGAGCACTCACACACATACACACACTCACACACAAGTCTCTCTGGCTCATCTGCTGCCCACGAGGCTGGCCCAGTGGGGCAAAACGATCCCTCCTACCCAAACATGATCCACCACAATAAAGATATTTTTAACACAATGACTCCCAAAACAGCCATCCTTGCTCTGACACAGTAGCGCACTAATAAACGCCTAATTTGCTCAGCCTCTAGTCTGCTCTTGCTTTAATTTCCCTGCTTTTGTTTTGGTTTTTTGATATAGATCCCTCTGCAACCTGGAAGGCAGGAAATGTGCACACAAAGCACACTTACACAAAGGGGGTGTCTTTAGCTCAGTAATGAGTCCGTGAGGGATGCCAGTACTATAAAACAAACTGTTCTTTTGTCATGGACTTCGCACAGGGATCCAAATTGCACTTTAAACTTAGTGCACAGCAGAAGGCATAGGGTTGTGCGGAGTCGCCAGCCCAGCGGATTGGCTGTGTTGTGGGCTGTGTCATTCAGTGACAGGCTCCATGTGGGGGATGGCTGGGGTGATAACATCATTCTGAAAGGTAATGTGTAACAGAGTCTGACCAGGGGAGGACAGGCTACTGGAGATACAGACAAACAGGCAGCATAGGGTTAAAGCAATACCTTATTACATTAACAGAGGACAAGGCTAACTTGATTACTTTGGCAAATATGACAAGCTGGTGTGGTGGTCAAACCCCTGTTGTTTTAACCTTCAAAGCAAAGAAATACAGAGTAAGGAAACAGTACGACGTTGCACCTCAGAGGGATAAAAGAGCACAAATTTCATCTTTCTGATTGTGTATCTTTAGCATGGTTTAACTTAACTGTGAAAGGAAGAAGTTTGTAACTGTGAAATCATTTGCAAAGAGATGGCAATCGGTGTAATCTGCATGACCTCTGCCTTTCTGCCCCCATTAATCCACTCTCCCTGACACATACCCACCAGCATCTGTCACAATCACACAGCCCTACATGGCTTGGGTTACCTTTAAACATAAGCACTATTATGTGCACTTTAAAAGCATACCATGAGCACGAGAGAACCAGCTGATCGCTGGACTGCTCTGCGCAACGACGTACAAGAGCTTCACTAGCTTATGAGGTAAAACCCTCAGTGTCAGTACTAGTGTCTCAAGCAGCGGGTGATGGGGGCAGACAAATGGTTCAGCTGAGGTCCAGCGGTGGACTGATACAAGGACAAGAAACCCCAGGCAGCATGAGAGGGCCAGAAATAACTCATAGCCTGGAACACATTCTTCTGGTATCAGTCAATGCAAATGCTAATTACATTGGTGTAGGATGAATGCCAGATCTATTTAGGGACTTAATAGAGTGTTTCACATAACTGTAAGACATGTTTTTTTTTTTTTTTTAAAAATTATAGAGCAATTATAGTTGCAATAGTTTTGTACGGCAAACTAGTAAATTAATTCCCTCATATTGATGACTGATGATTGATTGTCCTTGTCCACTTACCGTCATCATTTACAACATCATTTACGTGCGACACAGGGCACTGTTTCAGCCTTCTTAGCTGCTCCTGTGCGCACATGCTATAATACCATGCAGGACAAAAAAAAAAAACAAAAAACAATAAATAAATCCTGTCAGGTATTGGCTGATATAAATGGACCCCTGAGATATTGTTTTATTTTGAGTATTTTATACTGTAATGTATTTTGGTTTTAGTTTTACACATTGGGTTTTAGATCCCTTTACTTTTTTTTTTTTTTTTCAGATATTTTTTGGGGGGCATTTTGGCCTTTAATCGACAGGACAGACAAGTGTGGGAGGGGGAGAAAGAGGGGGAGTGACATGCAGGAAATGGCCACAGGCTGGAGTCGAGCCAGGGCCCCTGCGGCAACAGCCTTGTACATGGGGCGCCTGCTCTATCCACTAAGCCACCGACGTCCCAGATCACTTTACTTTTGATACAAAACTAATACCATCATCATTAAATTATTAATCCTTTTTTTAATTTATTTTATCTATTTTGTCTTAAAATGACACAGACACTATCTTTTAACATCATTTATATAATTCCACTCTGTCGAAACTGTTCTATATTAAATGACAGGAGCAGTTTTGGCCTCCCTTGTACTTTTGCTAAGTGCCAAAAATGACATCATGGACACACACTAATTGGTCTAATGAGGCACTGGTTACTGCCAATGACCCTTATCAGCTCTGCTTTCAGTGCCACAGTACCAAGAGTGCCTCTACTCAGTTTGCTTGCCTGCCAGAGTGCTGATTGCCAGGTTTGTATGCTGTTTGTAGTAAAAAATAAAAGTACTTCAGCTTCAGTTCTGAAATATAGCTCCACTAAAAAACCCCAGAAAAGTCGGGCAGCACCTTGTTTTTGCTCTACTTCTGTCCAGGAGTCACCTGCAGGATGGCCTTAGCTAAAGTGAGGACTTTAGCTAAAGCCATCCTGCAGGTCAATCCTCAGCAGAGCATGAACAAGGAGATCGTGGAAAGTGGATATTCCACCTTGCTCTCCAGTTGGCAGTGACAGCCAACAACCTGCGGCTACTGGGTGTGTCCCTATCACAGCTGCAACAACACACAAGACCTCTGTATCAGCTAAGAGGTTAGATCCGGTGAAGACGAACAACCTCGCCGGCCACAGGTTTTGTTATGGCACATACATGTTGCATAACTGCCCTCCAGCACAAGGACAATGAAATCTCCTGGGTGCTCCACTGGTACTACAGAGGACTGTGTGAGCATCCACCACCCTCAGAAACCAGCTTGTTCAGCATTTTAAAGAAGACTACTAGAACAGCACTTTCTGTATGTGTGGCTCCCCTCTGCTTGGCTTGATGAACCTCACTGTAGAAGAAGGTGGAACTGCTGACAGGGACTCAAGCTACACTATTCTTGTACGGTCCTGGTAAATCTGGCAGCTGGCACCATACCTGCAAGCATGTTTCACTCTGGACAGTTCCTCCTTACTAGGAGGTACTTTCGGAGGCACGGATGGTGATAGGTTGGTGCTGCTGTTAAGAGAGCGAAAGATTGTGAGCTCCATGGGTCCACCAACTGATCTGAGTGGCGTAACTCAGACAAATCCACGTTAAAAAACATCATGAGTTTAAGTCAAGCCACAGCTGTCCAGTTCAGCTTGATGCACTCTGTCTATCTAATGAAATGGAAAGGTTACTACATTTGCACACTCTTTCAGTTGGCTTATGTGGAACACAATATAGCAGCTGTTGGAAACTACAGAGAGGGTGCATTAACACTTGTGCTGCAGCAGCTTCTTTACAGACAAAATCCGTGCTAGCCTAATGATATGGTGAGACAGCAGTCACCTCTCACCACTTGCAATAATAATTCTGGGTAAGCCTCATTGCTGCAACTTGCTGCTGTTTCTCACTTCAATTCATTGTATTATTTCTGGCATGTTATAAAAAGTTGTGGGGAGGCAAGGATAACTGTTTTCCAGCGAGTTTTTCTTAGGTAAGCTACTGTGATCTCGCACCAGTTTGATTTTTGCTACTTTTTTTTGTACTACTGTTTTGGGAACAGTAATAGTTTTGATGAAGGCACCTTGGTGACATGGCATCTAATTTGTAAATAACATAATTCCAGAGGTGGAACAAAGTCATTGTTTTGCAAGTCACAAGTAAGTCTCAAGTCTTTGCACTCAAGTCCCAAGTCAAGACAGGCAGGTCTTCAGTCATGTCAAAAGTCAAGACTGAGAAGTCTCAAGTCTTTAGTGCTAAACTTTGAGCTTCTATTTGTAAATGAGTCACGATGTGCTTTTAAACAAATGTGATGCCATTTTAGGTTAATAATGTATTAAATTTACTATAACCATGAGTGCTTTTAAAATTTAAATCTTTATTTGTTAAAACAGAAGTTATTTAGCTATTAGACTAATATTAGCTGAGCATAAGCTTGCAAATTATATTAATATTAATATTTATCTTGATTTATGCAACTTCAAATGTCAGAGTTGGATGTTGTTGCATATCTGTCTGTACTTTTGATCAATACATGCATACTGAAGTTCTTTGTTGACCACCAAGTAGTTGTTTTTTTTTTTACACAAACAAAATTATCTTCAGTATCATATTTTCCAACTGGTGCTCAGTAACATAATGGATGTCCTTTATGGTTCTCTCCTGCAACTTGATTGGATGCTGTCGATTTGGTTCAAACAAAATGAAGCTGGAAAATTCAGTGTCAACTTGCTGGGAATGAAAAGTGTAAAGATGATAATAGATTCAGGAAATTAAGGGATTCACGGTACACTTTCTAGAATGACATACATTTTAATCTTTGGGCTTGGGGGAGGGTAGCAAGTATTTTCAAGTCAAAAGGCTCAAGTTCAAGTGAAATGAGTCACTGGTGTTTGAGTCCAAGTAGAGTTTTTGGATTTGTGACTCCAAATTCCGGTCCACACCTCTGAATAACTCTTTACAATGACATACTGTCTGAAGTCAAAGTGTCCTCTTGTCACTGAATTGCTGAAGGAACACAAAATATGCTGGTGAAAGATTATTTTGAATTTAATGGGGGGTTCAGTTAAGGTTTAAGAAACACCTTCATTCATGTTGTGCAACAAAGAGTAGACTAATAAGGAACCATTTTACAACTAGTGCATGAGGCAAACTAATGTTAAGTTACATCATAAAAAAATTAAGTTAACTCTAAGTTATATTTACATGTATTAGTCTGTATTTTACAAGACATGAAAAGTATAATGTATTTTTTTCCACATCTTTTTGTTCATATCCGTTTAAATGAAGTTGGACGTTGCAAAACAAAACTCTAAATGCACCTGGATAACAAACATCAGCTGGCGTCACACTGTATAAACACTGACGGAGGCTGATACAACACTTCGGTGAAGCTGTTAAAGTGAAATACGATGCAAGCATGGACATTTAATTGGACAGATTTTTAAAGACAAATTATTTGATAACAGCCTTTAAATGTGGGTGAGGTCTGCATGTTCGTGCCTTTTATTTAGAAACATGGGAGAAAGCACGACCTTCATGTGAGCCGTAATCTAACGTTAACTATCATCGCTCCGGTGTGTGCGCGCAGTTGAGACACGCCGCAGTCAGGGGAGCTTATGTCGACACAACACCTGTGTCCAACTGTGTCAAAAACACTGACGACCTTTGCGCTAACATTTTGCAAGCATTGGTCAAAGTTAGCGTTTGGTTTTCAATTAAAAAAAAAATAACCTGCCATTAAATAAAATAAACACGCAGGTAAAAGTTCAGCAACAACACGACGCACAGTCCTTCCTGCTCCTCTGCACCAGCTGGAACCGACACCCATTTCAAAACGTGCGCTTTCAAACATTTATTTATATATATATATTTATATTTCCACAGCTGTTTTTACCTTGTGCCTCCTCAAGTGCAGTCTCCAATCCAAGCCTTGAAGCCTGGTCTTCATACCGCTGCTCCTGTGGGGAATAAAACTGTTCACACGTGTAGCACAGGTGCTCTACTGTAACGTGCCCCCTACGTCACGTCACACTCTGTGGTCACGTTTTACCTGTTGTGAATAACAGGTGGTATTCAACGGGATCTGAGTTCAGCAGGTCATGGAGAGAAAATAACTGCATCATTTGTGCACACACACCAAACAGAGGCAAGTGAAATGATAAAAGCTTTATTCTTAACAACACTGCTTGACAAGAACATTGTGTGCTGTGCACATCAGTGTATTTCTGCAGCTTAATCAAAAACTCTGTAATACTTAAATATAGATTTGACATATAATCTAAAGAGCATTTAAGTACCATAGGTCAGACCTGGTCCGTCCTACACATCCAGTATTACTTAGATAATACACGTTCTAATAATTTATAGAATTGTTCTCATTTCACGTTCTTGTTCACTCACAACAGTGACGCACCAAATGCAAGATAGTCATCACACAAAATAAAAGAGAAGCATTAAAATGTTCATGTCAGCGCCAGGGGTATTACTTAATGACATGTGAGAAAATAAACCAAAATACAGCAATTATTAATTATCAAAATACATTATTTTATGTACACTGTTGGAGACTACCAAAAGAGGTAAAACAAAAGACAGTTCCTGCGTCTGTGTCATGGGATAAAGGGTTGTGGAGAAGTCAAAGTAGACAGGATAAGCTCCTCCTGGAAGGGAGAAAAAAAAAAAAAACAACACAATGGTTCATTCATGTGTTGTGGAAACATTTTTGGGATATCAAATTGCAATGTGTGTGTTGGATTTTGCTTACAGTAGATGATATATCATGAAAGGAATGAAGGCACTGCTATGGACTGCTCTCTCCTTGCATTTCAACAATTCCACTAAAAGATGGTGTTTCGGGCTTTACTTCCTGCAGAGTGTCGTGCTTGTCACCATCCAGCTCTGTATGTTTACTGTCCTGTGATGTTAAAAAAGAAACAATGTATACGATGACTGAAGACGAAAAGAAAGAACACAATAGCTACTTTAAGAGCTTACAAAACAGAGTTTGACAAAAGCAAATATGGTTTTTCTGCAGTTCAAAGGGACTGTTCGTATGCGATGTAATACAAAAAGCCCTAGTGCCCATGATGCCCCTAGTATAAGGAGAAATACCTCTTTAGTGCAGGAATGTATGTTGGTCTGTTATTAATTATTGATGTCCGTTGATGTCCACAATCTTTACTGCACAATGCATACCACACATGATAGACTATTATAGATCAGATTAAAGAGTAAGATATGATGTCACCTAAAGTCAAAACCGCAGTTTTCTCTGACCATCCCTAAAGCTCAGAAAACGATGAGGTTATGCCTTCATCACTTAGTCTTCTCTGTGTGGAATACCCTGCAGAAATAATTAAATGAATTGAAGTGTCGTCTTTCAGCGTCAGTGGATTTAGCCCCTCATTTCCTCTTTGTCTCAACTGCCACCTCTCACTCTGTTTCTCTTTTATTATTTTCCGAAACAGCAGACCCTCTTGATCCTTCATTTCGAATTAACTAACCGTGCTAAAAATTCAAACCGGTGAAAAAAAAAAAAAAACGTTCCTAATACTGAGGCTTTAAAGGGCTTAGGAATACGGCGAGTAGTTTCTATTAAACCCTGGGCTGATTCAAGTCAATGGAACACAGTATTCTGCTACTTAGAGGATTTTATAATGTCTATGAGAGTCAATAACTCATCGCTGGTCACAGTGTAAATAGCTGATACAGCACCAAAAAGTAGCACCGCAGCAGTTACAAAAGTGGTTTTAGTTTCAAACAAACTGAAGCAGTAGTGGGATAAGTCACCCTCTTGTCCACCTCTGTGTAACTCTTTTAAGGGAAAACCAAAAAACTGCTTTGCTCAGCAGTGCAAAGTGCTCCTCTACCCGAGCATTAATACATCAGTGTATGAGTTAAGTATATATATAAAAGCTATTACCAGCGGCGGTGGTCTCGAGAGTATAAAGTGCTGCTTTGATCTTTATTTAGATATTCATATGCAAGTATACAATGCAGTCAGAACTCACCTTGAGCTCAGAAAATCCTCCCGACTCTGTGAGTGATGAGGGGCTTGTGATTGGGGAGACGGGTGGTGAAACAGGAGATTGAGGCGACTTTGGCCACTGGGATAAGGACTGGCTCCTTTTCACAGCAGAGGACACTGCCTGGGCGAAGCGGGATGGGGTTGTAGGAGAAAAGGGCCTAGGGGCGGCAAAGCTCCTTAATTTCTCCAAGCTTAACCGTCCGCTTGGCTCTTTAGATGGCAAACTACTTTGCCTTGTCATTCGCTGGAAGGCTACATTCTTGTCATCCCCCTTAGGGCTGAGCTCGACGTTAGCGGCCCCTGTTGTCTCCTCTTGACACTGCACAGGAGGTGGAAGAGGAGGGGGTGGTAACTTTGCTCTCTCTGCACTTCCTTGAGCCTCCCTCTGGCCAGAGCCAGGACTGGTGGCGAGACTCTTTTCTGCTGCTGAGGTTACATAATACCCAGGTGTTTTTTTGTGCTGTGCCAAGCGGAAAGAACCCGGCTTAGGTTTAGTTGTGGGTGGAATTTTCATCTCCTTGACCTGTGCTGGTGAACCTGCTTGAGACGCCCCATTAGCTGAGGATGAAATCTTGTCATCTGCGTTAGGTAAACTTGTTGGTGATGAGGGAGGAATGGATACAGGTATACTTCCATTAACAGTGTCTTGGGTAGTAGTAGTAGTAGTGCTAGTCAGTATGTCTTCCCTGGGTGTAGTTGAGTGCAGCTCACTTTTTTCCTTTGGGACCTCCGTCTGTCCCCTCGGTGCTGTGCTCTCCTCCAACTGAAGAGAACCAATATCAAGTCCCTCTTCTGGAGCTGCAGGAGGCGGCTCCAGTGTCAGTGCAACTTCAAAATATCTCAGTTTCTCCAGAGATTTCTGAGGCACGATAGTATACGTTGTCATCCCCACCTTGGGGATGTAGTCCCTTGTCAGCTCGTTGGAAGGCTTGGGCTTTGGCTCAGAGTTTGTGGCATAAATAGTCGACACCTTTGTTGTGGCAGGAGCACTTGCTGTTGAGTCTTGGCACGTTGAGGTCTCCGAGGTGCGGGATAAGGCATGTTTGAGGTCAGGCACGTCCGGTTCCTCCGTTGCAGTGGCCATATCTTTCTTCCCCCCTGATTCAAAAGCGGGCGGATTAGCTGAGGACAGGACTGCGTCCGTGTGTTGCTGTGGAGGCACAGGTAGGGGTGTGAAATCTGTTTGCACTTGAGCATCCTCTCCAGTGGGGCGTGATATGCTCGTAGCTACCGGGCTCTCCAACTTGTCAGTCTGCTCCTGGAGGGTTTCAGTGTTTGCCTCAACAGGGGCCTGTGCTTCTGCATCCTGCATCACAGGCAGAGGGGGGCTGCTGGGTACAGTGCTGCAGTCCACACTTTGAGGTGTAGACTCTTCACAAACTGGGTGTTGGCTTACATTTTCAACTGAACATGGACCACTATCTGTACAGAAAAGAACATTTGTAATGTGAGACGGATGTGCTGACTTTCCTGGAGAAGCAAAAAACAACTTTTTGAACTTTGGCACAGTGAGACAGAGTTCAAGAAAAGATATGAATAACACCACTATCATTCAGGCAAACCCACTAGTATCTGCTGGTTCAGATGAGTCTGTGCCATCAGTTGCCACCACCACACTCAGAGTTGCAGAATCATTCATTGTGCTCTGCAGCTGACTGTAAAAGTCAAGAAAAGGAAAGGGAATTAAAAGTATTGCTAATACTAAAGTTAAAACATGGCTGAGGCTGGAGAAGTCATACTAGAGTTCGTACTTGCCATCTGAGGACAGATCACAAGACTGATCTTCCCCATTTCGCTCTGTGGACGTTGTGCTCAGTATCTCAGTATCTGGGGACGGGGAATGCAACGAGACATCAGCAGACATGTTGAGGCTGCTGTCCTCTCCCTGGGTTTCACTAGCAGTTGCAGACATTGAAGAGGCAGCCGTCTCCTCTTGCTCCATAATCTCCTCCAGTGTGTTAGCAGCTGCACCTCCTGCAAAACAACACCATAAAGAAGTCGTGTAAAATCATTCACATTTACCGTACCTGGCCTTGGAAGGAAAATGTTGCTAGGTGATGATCAGTGGAGCATCCAACATCACATTTAGCTTTTTTTTTCAAGGACATGTGTTGGCTGTAATGTATAAACAACTGTTAATGTGACTTCCCCAACATATGCACGAGAAACCGAGCATCCAATGGTTCTTATCTCATATGTACGCTCATTCACCCTTTGCATTAAAAAAGGTTCTTTTGATGAATGAATTCCACTTAATAATCTCTCACATCTCACTCCCCCTTGTCTAGTTCTTAATTTAGCACTGAGAGGAAGTGCATCACAGAGCCGCAGAGAGCAAAAGGAATTTCAAGGCTACTTAAACAAAACTGCAGCTTCTCACTGTTCTCAGCCTCTGATCTTTGTATCTACGGAGCAGCACTGGGGCTGTTGGGGAAACAGCAGAGGAAGTGATCTTTCTCTGTGAACTTAAGTGTTTGAAAAATTAGGAGCAACGGGAGGACGGAAATGGTAGTGTATACATGTAGACAGCAGTCGGATAAAGTCTGTGATTACACTTTCTTTTAATGAGGTCTGGGAGATATGCTGCTACTACGGAGACTGCGGGTAACAAAGGAGCAAAGAAAACAAAAAGAAGAAAAACACAGAGGCATATAAAAAGTAATTTAAAGGGGAGTAGATAAGAGAGAAGCCTGCTGTCTATATGGGGTGTTTGTGTCACATACAGGACACTAGCTTTTGCAATGTCTAATCAGAATACACTTGATGGGGTGTTGTTAAGTAGGCTAATCCTGATTCTCAGACATTTCCATGGATAGTTTTCAGTATTTTCTGTTGACAGCATGGTCTGTGGATCATCCACAGTGACAGGGACATTGTTTCTGGATTGTAATTCAGTGTTATGAGCCCTTCAAGCAGGGTGTTTACAGGTATCAGACACTTAAATGTAATGCCTTATATCCTCAGGTGGGGTCCTTCTGGCTGCTCCAGAGTTGAGGTT